CTGCTGTACTTCCTTGCTTACGGCCACCGTCTGATCCCGGTGAACTTTACTTCGACTTCATTGCTTTACTCGTTCATGTCTGTGTTTTGAATTTCACCATGTATTGAATATGTACTGTCTTTGTACCTCGTATTTTTTTGTTATTCAAACAATTTATTCTTCAATGTCAGGCCGAAGTGCCTTCTTTACTTATCTAAATGCATTTTTTAACTTCTTCTTTCAAGTGCTTTGAATGTTTGCCCTCTTCTTAATGCTTTGTATGATTCCATACTTAGAATACAATTTGCATGTCTTCAACATACACCTTAACTGTGCAATCTCCCCAAGTTAACATACCTCGGACAAAACTTCTGACATTGTGTAGACACCCCATTTTTGATCGTCCTCAAGACTTGGACGTCATCGTTTGAACACTCAATGATCATCCATGTTCGTGTTCGTCTTGAGTTCTCAGAGGTCTCGGTCGCGCGCCTTGCCTCAAGATCTCTCGACTTATTTGTTTTATGCTTGGTTGGACCAAGGACTTGTGGCCTTTGCACCTGAGGGGGGGAAATGGCTTGTTGGCTATCCCCACACATCACCGGCCATGGCCTACCGGCCAAAAGTGATGGCCGGTCGGCAATGTATTTAGTCGGTCGGCCCTTTGTGTTGGTTGATCGGCCTTTTTTGCTGGCCGAACCCTGTTCATCTGCTTTATGCAGATATTTAGTGCCAGGTGGCACAGACCCTGCCCTCCATACACGTGTATGGAGGATTTGCACCCTTTGTTTTAGCTTCTTGAGGAAGCTTGAACCGTTTGAACCTTTTTAGCTTCTCCAAGAAGCTTGAACCTTTTTAGCTTCTTGAAGAAGCTCGAACCTTTTTAGCTTCTCCAAGAAGCTTGAACCCTATTGTTTCTCTATAAGAGAGGGCCTACCTCTTCTTTAAAGAGATTCTAAAAATTTGTTTAAAGCTCTAAGATATATCTCTCTTTATATCTCTATATTTTGGGTTCAAAAAGGTCTAGTTCTTGGCCTATTACACCACACCTGATAGCCACACACCTCCACCATTCATCTAAGGTTCTTGGAGGTCATTTTCAGAGGTTAAAGAGTTGGTTCTTGGTCCAAGAACCTGCTGGTTTTGCAGCTGTGCATCAAGGGTGAGAACTACCCTCTTTATTCCCCATATTTGCACACACTTTTAGCCTATCTTTCATGCTGTATAACTAATAAAAGTTCTATTTTTGCATGCTTTTGAAGTTTGTTTAAGATCACTTTTGTGTTTGGGGCTGTTTACCCCCTCTTAGGCCTTGTTTGGCCTCATTTTTGTGCTTTTTTTTGTGAGTTTCGGGACTACCTTGTATTGTCCAGAGGGATTTCAGTGGTGGGGGTGGTGTTTTGAGGTCCTAAGAAGGAGAGGGCCATCCCCTTTCCTTATTGTCTTCAATACTTATCATATTTGCCTCATATGTGAGCACCTTTGTTAAGTTCATGTTGGCCATGTCTTAGCTGGTATTTGTGGTTATTTTTCTGTCATATGCCACTGTTTTTTGCCTATCTTGGTCATTCCATGCATGGTTTATACACTTGTAGTGTAAATTTTGCAAACTAGTCTTGTATGTCTCATGTTTGAGTATGTGTTTCTAGCTTGTTTTTGGGCCATCTCAGTAGATTTTTGGTGTAGTTTTAACATGCCTTAGATCTTTTTTTGCTTGGTTTGGTTGGCCCTTGCATGCCTCATACACTTGTAGTGTAAATCACACGCACTAGCTTTGTATGCTCCTTGAAGTAGCATCTCATTTTAGCCTATGTTGTGTCCATTTCAGCATGTTATTGGGCTTATTTTATCATGTCATACCTTTGTTTAGGTTTGGTTTGGTTAGCCCTTGCATGCTCCATACACTTGCCATGCAATCCCATGAAATAGCCTAACATGCGTTATGTTGTGACATGTCTTTTTAGCATGCTTTTGGCTTGACTTCAAGAAGATTTTATCCATGTTTTGGTATGCTTGAGGTCTGATTTTGGTTGTCTTGGTCACCCATGACTTGTTTTGCATAGCTTTGGTTCAATCTTGCTTGTAAGCTTTGTGTATTGAGTCATTTAGTATGCATTACTTGGCCTATTTCAATGATTTGGCATCATTTGTAGTGTAATTTCAGTCCATGTTTCATGGTCATGCACATGCATTTATCACTCTTTAAATGCGTTTGAGAGTTGTGCTTGTATGCCTCATTTATGGACCATTGCATGAGCTTCATTTAAATGCATTCCGAGCCACCATCCCAACACATTTTGCCACTGATTTTGGCCTGCATCAAGTCTGTTTGGGGTTGGTTTCGTCATTTGAGCATCGCTTTGCATATCTATAGTGTATTGCATTTCACTAGCTTCGGTGTTTGAGTCTTTAACAATGCATTACATGAGTGTTTGCATGCTTTGGAGTCATTTTGGGGCCATTTAGTATGCCATTTCAGAGCCGGAATGTATGCCATCGTATGTCATGCTTCATCCTTGCATTGCTCTTGGAGAGTTGCATTTTGTGCCTTAGGCTTGGAGCCCTTGCATTGTGCATGTTTGCATGAATCTTGGGCCTTGTTCCCATCTCATTTGGCCACTGATTTTGGCATGCTTGAGAGCTACCCATGTTAGTGTAAGTCCATCTCACCATGTTGTTGCATGCTTGTTTCATTTTGCATGTTGTTGCATGCTATACATGTCCACATGTTTAAGTTGTATGCCTATTGCATATTGCATGTTAATATGCTCATGTTGCATTAGATTTGTTGCACACTTGAGTTATTTTCATGCTTGCTTGCTTGCCTAGGTTGCATTGCATTGTGTGTGCATCTCTTGCCTCTTGATCAATCATGATAGAGGTTGGGGCCCTTTATGTGTTTTGTGCATTTCATTCCATATTGAGTTGCACACTTGGCTTCTTTGGTCATTATGCATTGAAATGCGTGATTGATGGTCTGAGGGTCGAAAACTATACTCCTTTGAGTCTTAAACATGATAAGGAGGGTGGTTGTGCAAACATTGCTTTGAAAATACATTGCCGTGCTCTATTTGCCTTCTGCTGCAGCAAAACAGGATTCTGCAGGAATAGATGGCCGGTTGGTCATCTTCAGTGCCGGCCGGCTATGCATTGTTGGCCGAGAGCTTCACACATGGTCGATGACCAGTTTCCCAAGGCCGGTGGCCTTGCATTTTGGCCGGTGACCTTCCACAGTGCTCAGAAGGTGGTTCAGAAACATCCTGGAGACTTGTGTAGTTTTCAGAAGTGCAGAGCAGTGTAAACAGAGGCAACATAAGTATGGCGATGGATTTCCGAGCGAAACCAAACATGCATGCATTCATCCCTCTTCCCGAGGCCTCTTTACTGCTTTCTTAGCTTAATTAATTCATTTAATTAGTTGAGTGTCGTGTAATAATTAATTAGCTTGTTAGTTAGTTAATTTGTATTATTCTTTCGGTCCCTCCGAGAGAGGGCAAATTGTGTAATAAGCGTGCGTGTGTGTGATGCATGTCTTCCAACCCCACGTCTTTCTCCCTTTTATTTAACCGCTTACAATGGTTAGTTTTAGGGCACGTTTCAATTAGCATACTTATGATAGCATGTTTGCACACATTTATTCGTATTGCATGTACTAGGCTCAGCGCATCATGCTAACTGCATTGTGTTTCAATTCCAATTTGAATGCATGTATCAAGTTGCATTTCACATGACATCTTAGAATAGCCGAGCCTATTTCTAGTTGCATTTTGCATGTGTTGCATTAGCCATCTTAACATGAACTAGGATTATGCATTTGATTACTAACTAGTTTTTGTTTTGGCTTGGAGTACTAGGTAAGAATTTACGCTTTAGCATCCTTGCATGTGTGTGAGTGTTGCCATGGCAGTATGCTTACCATGAGGCTATTTGCATATGTGATGTAACTGCCTGAATGCCTGTGGGTGAAGGTTGGATTGCTTGAATTGGGACAATTCATTGAAATCCGTATTTTAGCCTACTTACGAGGAGCAAAACTCAAACCATTTTTCCGAACAAACGGATATGTAATGGTTCGTTCCAAATTAGGCGATCTAGTCTATACTTGTTTTTCTGTGCGCATCACATAGTAATTCTAACTAATTAACCGGAATAAGAACACATGTGTTTTCAAAAACAAGATATCATATTTAGTAGTGGCCGATCTTTGATCGGGCGAGCGGGGGTGCTCATGGCTGACCTTCTCCAATCGTACCCAAATTCCCGAGCCGAGGCAACTTTGGTAATGACAGACATGTGGCCTTAGGCAACGAGTTAGGGTTTCCTAAATTTCCCAAAAATAAAACATTTAGATGGCGACTCTATATCTGGCAAAGCAGTCCATGTTTGGCACTTCTTTCTAAAAATCTGTTTTTCAAAACGATTTGTCGGATTTGGACTCTTTGGTGATTTATCAATCTCACATCGCACATTGTGAGATCAGATTAAGAACCGTGACAATTTGAGTGACAACCGATCAAGCACTTTCGTGTCCATGAACACACCAGATCAGAAAAGACAAAGATGAGAGAGAACAAAGAGAGCCATATCGGAAATAGAAGAGAGAGAGGACGTCATCGCATGGATCTCGTCCCCTCCACCGCCACGGTTTGATTTGCTTGGTAGAGAAATGTGTACCGGAGGTCGGCGGTGATGATGGAGATGGCAGCAAGTGATGTTGAGGAGGGAGGAAGAGATCTTAGTGAAAAAGGTTTGGCTCGGTAGATGAGAGAGAGAGATAAGAGAAGTAAATGAGTGAATAGGAAAAACAACATATATATATATATACGGGGATTCAGGGATTATTCGGGGCGGGGTGGGACGGGGGAACCTATCCCCGTCCTCGGCCCGAAAGCCATCGAGGATCTATTTTTCAATACCAGCCTCTATTTTTCAATACCAACCCCGGCCTTATAGGGGATAATTTTCCAAAAAAACCCGATTTATCGGAACAGGGTGGTCCGGGTTCAAATTGTCATCCCTAGATGCAAGATGACATTCTAACATGGATGCTAACAGTCAAGGAAGCCGTGTACTACTCAGCTCAACTCCAACTTCCCAACTCAATGCCCAAAGCTGAGAAAAAAGAGAGAGCTGAGAACACAATAAGGGAGATGGGGTTGCAAGACTCCATGAACACAAGAATAGAAGGTTGGGGAAACAAAGGCCTAAGTGGTGGCCAGAAGAGGAGAGTGAGCATTTGCATAGAGATTTTAATACGCCCGAAACTTCTCTTTCTTGATGAGCCGACAAGTGGACTTGATAGCGCCGCGTCATGCTATGTCATGAGCAGAATTGTGAAACTTGCCAAGCAAGATAGGATGACACTGATAGCTTCCATCCATCAACCTAGCAGTGAAGTGTTTGGTCTCTTTCACAACCTTTGCTTCCTCTCTTTGGGCCAAACAATATACTTTGGTTCCCCTTGTGGAGCAAATCAGGTATACTTTCACAATTTCTTCTCCTTTGAGTTTCAATTTTGTCAATATTGCCATTGAAGTTTGTGGCTTGAGTTAAATTGCCGATCTAATTTGAAATGACCGTCTAAATTATTAACTGAAAGAAAATGTTAAACATATAGAATTTTTATACGAAATTCTATGACAATGGTAATTTTGCTTCATTCTATACTACATTTTTGTATCTATATGTATAGCATTACTTTTAATAAAATGACAAGAAATATATGTACTTATGGTCTGTAAAATATATGTTTCGTATTATTTTGCTCTCTAAAATTTCAATTTTGTCAATTTGATTCCTAAACATTGATGAAGAAGACAAATCATCTTATACTGTTTAGAGACAAAATTGACAAAATAATTTTTTACGGAACAAAGTGACATAAAACACATAAATTAGTGACCACGAGTTTATTTTATTATGGTTTTTTTTTCAATTGATTTAGATGGTTGTTTAAAATTAACCCATATTATGAAAAATGAAATGCCTATTGACTCTTATTGCTTTTGATCTAAAATTAGTTTTTTGCAATGAATGGTTTTCCATGCCTAACGCTCCAAAATCCAGCTGATCACTATTTGAAAAAAATCAGCAGAGACTTTGATAAGGCAAGTATTGAACTCTTTAGATGTTATTTTGAAGATTATGTTTCTTTAAATTGTAATTAAAGTGGAACTACTATTCATTTTTAGGATATTGAACAAGGTGATGATGTTGGAAAGATGACAATTGAGGAAGTAATTGACGTTCTTGCTGAATCTTACAAATCATCTGATATTTGCAAGCAGATTCATAGACAAGTAGTTGAGATATGTAGACGGGTAAGCAATTAAATAAATTTAATTCACATGCTGAACAATAGTAACCAAAACAATTAATTTATAAAGTCTAAATCATCTAAAAGTTTAATATATTAGAGACCTCAACACTGTCTTCAATACCCCATCACATGTGGCCAAACTTTCTTTCAAAAGTATGCTCGCAACTATTATAATTATCAGATAGACGGTGGGGTTTGAATGTAAAATTTATTGTTTGTTCAGATACCATAATGAAATTGTTAACCACTAATGCATATAAGTGCTTAGCTGTTAGATAAATTAACAATTCTATTATTTATGTTTTCAACACCGGACTTCATTAAACTAGAAAAGTTTAGCTTGTGTCTTAACGCAAAAGTGGTTTGACTATTTAAATTGGATATGGTCTTGTAAGACATTAAAGCTAAGAACTTAAAAAATTTGCTCAGAAAAATACCCGGGAAAAAAATTGTGTCATTTCAAGTTCATGTCTCATAATACGAGTGTTGAATCTATACCACACATCACATTTCTTCTCAGTAAATTTTCTAGCTGACTGTTTTTTTGCTCTAAAATTGTAGGGTGGAGGAATAATAGAGAAAAAGGGAAGCCAAGCTAACTTCTTTACCCAGTGCCTTGTTCTTACAGAGAGGTATTTTTTAATTAACATGTACCGAGACCTAGGCTATTACTGGTGGCGCCTTGCTATATACATGGCATTGGGTTCAGGTTTAGGCAGTGTGTTCTATGATGTTGGCCCTAGTTATGGTTCAATTCATGTAAGTCTTGTGTCACAAACATTTAACCAAAATAAGAGGTTTCTCTGTAGAAAAAAGCTCAAGTGTTCGAGAGATTTTTACAAAATGGGATGTACATGTGAAACCAAAGGTGGGGTCCATATATACCCTATTTTATGTGGGTCCTGCACATTTGCTTCACATCTTTGTTTTATCGTGCGGAAATTGTGTGTGTTGCAGCATAGTAGTTATTTTTAGTCCACTAGTCCAATTTCTCAGACTAGAATGTCCAGTTGAGGGGATTGTGGATCCACTCTGATTTCATCTCAATGATCAAATTGTAACAATCTCAATCCATGATTAACGTTAATCTATGCTTAATTATGTCTAATAAGTAATTAAAGAGAATTTTTTCATCATATGTTGTCTTATGTGTGCTTGTATCTGTTTAACGTAGAAAGATCTGTTCATATTTTTGTTTCGCACTACAACAAAAACATACTTTAGTGGCACTACACTAGTGGCATATTTTTAGAAAATGCCACAAAAAATGATATTTAGTGGCACGTTTTTGAAAAATGCCACAAAACGACAAACATAAAAGGCTCTAGTGACATTTCAATGAACAAGTGTCACAAAACTACAACAAAAACATACTTCAGTGGCACTACACTAGTGGTATATTTTTAGAAAATGCCACAAAAAACGATATTTAGTGGCACGTTTTTAAAAAATGCCACAAAAAATGATATTTAGTGGCACGTTATTGAAAAATGCCACAAAACGACAAACATAAAAGGCTCTAATGACATTTCAATGAACAAGTGCCACAAAACTACAACAAAAACATACTTCAGTGGCACTACACTAGTGGTATATTTTTAGAAAATGCCACAAAAAACGATATTTAGTGGCACGTTTTTAAAAAATGCCACAAAAAATGATATTTAGTGGCACGTTATTGAAAAATGCCACAAAACGACAAACATAAAAGGCTCTAGTAACATTTCAATAAAAAAAAGTGTCACTTCACTACAACAAAAATGTCACTACAAAAAATTTATACTTTAGCAGTGACACTACACTAGTAGCATGTTTTTAGAAAAGCCACAAAAATAAAAATGGCATTAAAATGTTTTAGAAAAATGCCATAGAACCACAAAACATATAAGGCTCTAGTGGCATTTCAATAAAAAAATGTCACATCAATTTTATTGACATTTTATAAAATCAATGACACAAAAAATTATGTCGTGACATTACCAACAGATGCCACTAAACTTTAGTTGCAATTGGCATTTTTTATGTCAGTACACTAGGTAAGCCGCAAATTACTTTTTATGGCAATGACTTTTTATGTCATAAACAATTTTAGTAGCCAAAAGTCTACAATAGCGACTTAAAACTAAGTTTTTGGTCGCTGATTATGGGTTTTAGTGACTAAAAAATTTTAGAAGCCCAAAGTAAAGCTTTTTGGCGGACTAAAAAAAATTTAGTAGCCAAAAGTCTACAATTGGGTGACTAAAAATAAGTTTGGTCGCTGATATATGGGTTTTTACCGACTAAAAAAATTTTAGTAGCCAAAAGTCTCTTACAATTGGCGACTAAAAAATAAGTTTAGTCGCCAAAAGTGGTCATTTTTAGCGTGGAGAACTAAATTCTAAGTGGGAATAAAATTTTTTGGTGACCAAAATTTGGTAGCTGAAAGTGCATCTTCGGCGACCAAATCGATTTTTGGTCGACAAAAGTTAAGTTTTTTTAGCAACTAAAAATAATTAGTAGCAAAAGTATAAAATTGGCCGACTAAAAAATATTGCCAAAAGTGTTCTTTTTTTTTATTTTGGTAGTAAATAGTTTATTGTTTACATAAATTATGTTCAATAAAATAATTATGTTTATACATATATTTTATATTAATATGGATGTATGTACTTGTAAATCAATATATGTTGCATATATAATCATGTGGTGGTATAGAGTGTAGTGGGAAGAGTGTGGTGTATAAGGATTATGGTGCGGAAGTTGGCTTCAGTCTCCGCAAGAGCGGATCAATTGTTCTACAACGGAATTATCATCATGAATGACACCTTGATAGCGTCACGAATAGTGCCTACCATGACATTAAAGTGTCACTGAAAGGTTTAGTCTTGATGGTGTAATGACACTTACAAGTGTCACTAACTCTTTTTTTAATGGCGCTTGATAGTGCCACAAATAATATTTACCATGACATTAAAATGTCATTGAAAGTTTTCAGCCATGATGGTGCAGGGCACTTGCAAGTATCTACCGTGGCACTCGTATCTACCGTGACACCGACAGAAGTGGCACTTGTTCAAAATGCCACAAGACCAAAAAATGTCATTAGAAGAATAGTTTTGTGGCACTTTCAAATGTCACTAAACTAAGAAAATGTTGTAGTGTCGGTTTGCGAATTGAAGCCTTATCGTATTCGATTTGGAAATTGACTTGATTTTTGTGTTAATTAGGGTTTTTAGAATTTTATGGTAGGTTAATTGAAATTCGATTCGAAACGATTAATTTAAAGAATTAATGCTCAATGAAGCTTTATGAGATTACTTAATCCAAGCCTAATATAAGGCACCTTTTATACCACTCATCATTTTTCTTCATTTTCAACACTTTCTTGAGCCCACACACATACAAAAATGTGAGAGAATGAGGTGAGGAAAAGATTGAGCTCAACCAAGGGATTTTGCTAGGAAGATGAAGAATTGAACTTAGAGATTCAAGAATTAAGCCTTTAGCTCCACTTTGGAAAGTCAGGTAAGAATTCAACCTTTAAGTTCCTTGATTGTGGCATTAAGAACATGAATTCAAAAGATTAAGTATGTGAACTTGAAGTTGAACTAGAAAGGAAGAAATTTGACTCATACCTTGCATGCATGCATGCATAATTCCTAATATTTTGAAGTTATTTTCTAAGAATTTCCTCATACATGTTGCTATTCACTTTACCTTGAGAATGCATCAATTTCAAGTTATTTGTGGTATTAGATCACGTTTTAAAGTTTTGAAGTCAAGACAATTCATGCATGTTGTGGACTTGCTTTTTTCGCGCCTCCCTTTCGAAAGGTTTGAATGAAGGCCTCACAGTTTGGACTCCCCTGTTCTGAATTTAGTTTCAACAAGTGCAATGTGAAACTGATAAACACCAAAAGAGTCCAAATCTGGCAAATCATTTTGGAAAATCGATTTTAAAATCAAATAATGCCAAAATTGGACTGCTTTGCCAGATACAAGTCGTCACCTAAATATTTTATTTTAAGAAATTTAGGAAACCATGACTCGTACCAAAGGCCACGTGTCCGTCATCACCAAATTTGCCTCGGCTCGAGAATTTAGATACGAGAGAGGAAGGTCATGAATTGAGCACTTCCGCTCACCCGATCAAAGATCGCCTCTACTAATCATGATATGATGTTTTATAAACATTATGTGCTCTTATTCCGGTTATTAACTATCTTTATTATGTTGATGCGCACAAGCAAGTATAGATTAGTTTGCTCAAATTGGAACAATTAACTCATTGTTTGTTTGCGAAATGGTTTGAATTTGCCACCTCGAAGTGGGCTTAAAGATGCGGTTTTGCGACCAAACATAGTGGGCATAAAACATGATTTGTCACTCAACAAAGTGGGCTTAAAACTTACATTTGTTGAATTGTTCTAATTCAAACAATAAGCCTCCATCCACAAGCATTCATGCAATTTAGCATTTAAGCACATAGCCTCATGGCAAGCAAGCAATCATGGCAACATTCACACTTAGCAGAGTATGCTAAAGCATAAAAACTTATCGAGTACTCAAGCCAAAACAGAAACTAGTTAGAAAGATGCATGATCCTAACTATGTTAAGATGCCTAATGCAAACAGCAATAATACAATTAATAGGCTCGGCTACTAATATGAGCGTAAAACAATTTGAACGAATGGGATTTAAACACGTATTAACGAAGTATGAAATGACAATGCAGTTTGAGATATGCGTCGAGGCTCGTGCATGTAATACGAATGAAGGATGCAAGCATGCGATATGCTAATTTGAAATATGATCCCTATGCTCAACCATCGAAAAGCGATTAAAATTAAAAGGGAGAAAGACGTGGGGTTAGAAAACATACACTACATCTGCACTCACGCTTTATTACAACATTATGCCCTCACAAAGAGGTCCGATGATCTCTCCCC